GGGACGATTCCGTCACAGATGACGACACCACCGGCGGCGGCACGAGAAATGAAATGAAATAATCGGTTGCGTCTTCTCTTCTCTTTGCTTGCTTGCTTCTTCATCGTCGTCGTCGTCGTCCGTCATTTGTTCAAGCCTGACAGCCAAACGAGAACTTGGATGCGCCATCGCTTTCGTTTGATTGTCAGGTAGCAGTTTTCACTAGGCTGGATCAGAGAGGACAGAGGAGGATCGGAGGAGGAAGAAGAACTTGGAACAGTTGAGAGTAATGCGTATCAGTGCAGGATCAAGTGACAGCACAGCACGAGAGTACCAGTTGTATGGGACGGTCTATCTCTGCTGCACTGCTCTTCAGTCTCTGCTGGAAACTGATCTGTGAATGTGAGAGGTTAATCATACGGTGGTCCATTAGCTACCATATATTCCAGTAGTCTTAATCATGCAAGCTCATCTTTAAAAACGTTGATCGATCTTGCATTTGAAATGATCTGTCACGTCAGTTTGGGACCAAGTGGCAACAAAGATGGTAACGTTGCAGTGTGATATACTCATACCTCCTTTTTTTTAAAGCGAATTGTGACATAGATGAAATTAATATCGTGAAGACTTTGGGAAACAAAACAGAAATGGACATTCAGATTGTATTATTTGTACCTCCTCCATTTCAAATTACTCCGAATAAGACATTTTAGATTTTTCAGATATATAGATTTTATTATGCACATAGATATATACATTATGTCTACGTGCATAGTAAAACTACTAGAGAAATTATATGAAATGGAGAAATTATATACCGTCATGCCTGTGGTCTACCTCCTCCTCAAAAAGGAATGTAAAGTTGTCCTCTTCAAATAATTTTAAGATTGACCAAGTTTATAAAAACAATAGTTACTATATTGAATAAACATAATTATAATTATATGGAATATATTTTTCATATTTAGTATCATAAACGTTGATATTTTTCCTATTAATTAGATTAAACTTAAGATAATTTAACTTAAGACAAAAGTAGAGTTGCATTTTTTAGGGACGAACGTAGTATTATCTTAGTCCCTTTCTAATAAAAACCCCACTTTTAATAGATCTACACAATTAAGTCATTTTTAATGACTAATTATAAGCTAAACTTATATTTGTGTGTTGTTATTGTATCTTCATGTACCGGCCAATATTGTATGTCGATTGGTAATTTCGCTTTTGGAGCTATATGATCTATCAATATTTTCCTTTAATTTTTAATTTGGTGAATATTTTTTAAACAAACCATGGTTAATATTGTAAGTATCTTATAAATAAACTAGAAAAGGGCTTCGGATCTGTGCTGCATTATTTGCAAGTTTGCTGTTAGAAAGTTTGTTGGTTATAGTATGGTGATCCTGGAACTGCCCGGCCAGCCACCGGCATCAGGCATCCACGCATGTGCTGAAAAGGTCGAGGCTTTCTTATCGGAGACGATGCCACCATGCCTCATCGATCTTGTAATGGCACCTCATCTTGTGAGATAAAGTAACCTTCCCTGAGATGCAACTTGTGCCTTGTAACATGAGCTGTTCCTCATCATCCTCTCAATATATTTTTCTTTAAAAAAATGGCCTGATTAGTAAGAGAGATCTCCTTCAGTTCACATCTATTTCACCTCCATATCACCATGTGGAGCCGTGCAGAAGCTTCAGATGCAAGTTCCAAGCCAGATAAACGCGCACACGTCAGCAAGCTAGAATTCGTGATACAGTACCATAATATACTTTGCAAACGCACAGCATGCCGTCAAATCATTACAGAATTGGGGTCTCACGCTATGCAATCTTTTTTCCCCCTTGGGATGACGGGATCCAATTGGCGAATTGCGGAAGTTGCTTGGGAATCGATGCCGAAACGGACGTCTCACCAAAACCTTCTACAAGGACGGGGACGGCAAATCAGCGTGCGTGTGAGGTAGAAAGCGATCCGTTAAGCATGCTGGTCCGTGAATCGAGCTAGAAAGCGATCCGCTAAGCATGCTGCTTTGTGAATTCGTTGAATCCTCGATGGAATGGACCAACGATCATATCTTCTCTGTTCTTTTTCTTGGGAGAGGATCGGAGGTTTCATCATGTCTGATTAGACAGATCGTTAAACAAGCTCATCTTCTTCGAATCACGCAACTCGAAGACATGAACAATCAAACAAAAAAAATCAATCCAAGGGTTGCTGAACAGCAGCAGGCTCAGCGTCCAACTGACAGTCTTAAGCTAGTTTATTTATATATTTATATCTGTATCTGAAATGTTTAGCCAGAGTCTTCAGGGAGCGTGCATGAAACGCTATAGCGACTTAGTACGTGTCACTAGATTGCTGACTGTTCACTTTGACTAAATGCACTGTTTATTTTCATATTAGGCTGTCTCCAACAGAAGACCCATTGCGGAACCCAAACCCAAAATAGGTCTCCAACACAATACATATAGCATCCAACATGAGTACCTATGTGGAAGACCCATTTTGGGTGCATGGAGAGGCATATCTCAAATATGAGTATCCTCTCTTTCAGAGATCCATTTGCAGAAAAGGTTGTCTTTTTGGGTCTTGTTGTTGGAGAAGATTAAAAATAGGTATTGAATATTTTGCCTGTAACGCTACTCAAATGACGATTGAGTCTTGTATTTTGGGTCGTAGTTGTTGGAGACATGTCTTACGTACTTCTCTTAGGAGAAATGTCGACACCCTTTGTGTTTGATCGACCTTGTGTCACCGTCGGCGTGTTGTCACAGGGTATTTTGTTTTTAAGCGTGTTTAGCTTTTGTCACCGTCCGATGGTTTTCACTTTCAGTTGTTTCCCCCCCAAATGGATCACCAACTAACCAACCCGTAGCTGCAGGCCTGTAGCAGTTAGTTGATGGATTGACGTTAACATCTCAGCAGAATATTACTATTTAGAAATCTCAGTAGCTTATTACTTAGAAAGCAGCATTACAGGGACTGCTGCTAGGCGCGATGCCAGGTCTCACTCTCGCCCATGCTTTCAAGTTGCAAGCAGCCATTAACCTGGGATGGGATCCTTGATGTGCGGTCTGTCCTCGGAGGAAGACGAGCAAACACCAGGCCCATGCTTTCAAGTTGCAAGCAGCCATTAACCTGGGATGGGATCCTTGATGTGCGGTCTGTCCTGGGAGGAAGACGAGCAAACACCAGGCCTTTCAGTCAGTCCAAACTAGCCAGTCAATAGTGTTTTTCTCTAAAAAAACCTAGTATCAGTCAATCTAAACCAGCACCCACACCGATCAGCGAATAGCCCAGTACGTGCGGAGCGGAGCTTCAAGACAGCAGTACAGTACCCGTGTCCGTGGCTGCGCTTGGAATTTAGCTAGGCGGCCATGGCGCCCGACAGCTGTCTGTAGAACACTTGGCGACGGCAACGATTCCTGACGCCAGTACTATGCCACTGCCTATTATTCCTTGCAGCTCGCGCCAAGCGAGCGAGCGATCTGGCTGGTTCCTTTCTTGGATTCGTCATTCGTCGGAGCAAACGAAGTCTCACGACGGATTCTCCGACGCGATGTGGCGGGCAGGGAAAAAGGGTGACATGGCCTGGCCATCAGAAGTTGAGAATGGACAGACTGTTTCTTTTCTCCTCATCAATCACAAGCTATCACCAGATTCTTCAGTTACAGAAAAAGGTGTGATCATGTGGCCCAAACCCTGTTTGTTCCGGAGGTTACGGCCCATAGATGATCGGCTGACAAACCTTACTTATCACCATAGTGGCATAGTGTTTAACTGAGAAGAAATTTAATCAGAGAGCCCTACAGAAACTTTTTCATTACATAGAGGACTACAGAAACAACTTCTACTCTTACAGAGAGTATATATAGGTGCATAGACCGTTATTCGGAGGATGCATGCATAGGGATATGTTTCATTTTTTGAAAGTTGGGTTTTGCAGGTTGTTGCCCCAAGTGTATTGTCTTTCTGAAAGCTCCAACTCCCTCAAATTAAACGTGTCAATGATCGCATTGAAGGGGAACGACATCTATCACTATGATCTTTTCGTGCGATCCTCGTATTGTGTTGATGTCATCGTCTATTAAAATAGGCAAGGTTTCCTTCCAACATGTAACTTGACTAAGGTCCCGTTCGCTTCGCTGAAAAAATAAGCGAAATATTGTTCCGGCTGATTTGTTGTGAGAGAAAAACACTGTCTCGGCTGCAAAACAAGCTGAAAAAGACGGATTATAAGAGAAGCGAACAGGGCCTAATTCAGTCAGAAAAGTATTTTTTCCCATTACGTAATTCAAATTTAACAAAAAAATCACCCTCTTCAACTTCTAACTAGGTAGCGTACACCCGTGCGTTGCTACGGGATAACTAAACTTTTGTACTAAAAACACACGGATCGCATGATAAGATAACAATACTGTGAAATTAAATATAGATATTAAAGTGACATTTAATCCAAGAAGCAAAGTTCATAAAATTAACACGGTTACGGAGAGCGCGGCGTCGCATACTCACAAACTCTATTGTATAGACCTTTTCGTGATGTGGTTACGATAATGTTTTATATTATTGAGAAAAAAAATCTCTGTTATATGTTTCTTTCGTGCGCCAATAAATCCACGAACTCCATGTCATCCTATACACAAGTTTGAGTAAATATGTAAATATTAGTGCCTGTCACATGGGTAATACTACGTGTCTTGAAAAATCTCTCACAAAACCTTAAAACAAAGTATGTTATACTCATTGTATAAATATATGTTGCTTTAGATCTATTCCACGCAAACATATACTGTAAAATAAGAAGTGAAAATTTATATATAAAAATAAAACAAAAAATCAGATTTATTAAGATTGATGTCTTATATATTGTGTAACCAAAAGTAGCTTTTAGCTTGTTCAAATTTCACAGCACCATCAGCCCTGCTTTTGGGTGCGTTTGGTTGAGGAGTTATGACTTCTATAAAAACTACCGTCAGCCTCTTTCAGTTACGAGCGGACCCTAAATGTACTGCCCCTCATCCAAGGTAGGACCTTCTCGTTGGACACCAGATGATCAGTAGTTTCGACGCCTCTTTGGCCAGGTTGAATAGTTCACAGAGCCTAGACCGCATTGATGGTGACTCACTTTCCTTCATCTTCAACTATAGATGGTATGCCGATAAAACACTAACAAAAACACGTAGGTGATGTGCAAGACGTGTGGCACGTCCGTGGGCTGCCCAATCTCGATCCGCTCCTCGTCGTTGTCCTCCTTCTCGTGATCATCGTCATCAACACCCACGGCGTCGGTGCTGCACATCACCAGCGACTCTGTGGCACCCCCACGATGCCGCCCACCAGCCCTCCACCTCCTCCCCTCCCCGCCTAGAGCATTTGAAAGCACAAATATCCTATGTAGTGAGACCAATCCATACAGTGTGACATTTTCAACACCAATATAGGAGAAAAAAGAATAAGCACCTCTCATCAAAATTATTTTCAGCTGTCTTGGTTAATTGATTTTCACAATTTGATGCAACAATAATATCCAACTTATATCTCGAAACTATAAGGTAAGATTATGTCCCTGCAACACGCCTATTGCCGATGGAATGGAAGGGGAGCCTAAACTCCAAACAATTTAGAACCCAAAACATGAAAAAGAAAACCAACACAAATTAACACCACCATTGCCATTGCTCAACAAGCTAACCATAGGATGCCACAGGCAACCCACACGTACCTGAGCCACCACCCATTGGGTTTGCAGGAGCAGGTGCTTGCTCAGGCTCCTTGATGTCAACGACAACGGTATCAGAGGTGATGAAGGTTTTCGCCACCGACGCAGCATGCTCCAAGCAGCACCTCACAACCTGTTTTTGCAAAAGAAAATCCTCGCATCACCTAAATCTTTTCTTTACGTAGCAACACAAGGCATTGATTCTGCAGAAACACATCTTGGTGGGATCAATGATACCAGCAGCCATCAAATCCTCATACTTCCCTATAGCCGCGTTGTACCCATACCTGAAGTTCTCATTGGCAAGAACCTGAATATCAACAAATTCCAAACGTGTTAAGCACAAGTTGCACAACCCCTGACTAATAACGGGCATAATTTGAGCACAAACCTTCTCAGTAACCACACTGCCATTAACACCTGCATTCTTTGCAATCAATTTAAGTGGATAGATCAAGGACTTCCATACAATTTCAGCCCCAACCTTGAAAAGGAAAAATAGGGGCAAAAAGGTCACCATCGATGGAATATAAAATAGAACCTTAATCAAAGGGTAACATTTTTTTGAGGGGAAGGGTGACATTAAACAACTAAACTTTGGAACCTACCTTCTGTTCATCATTCTCAAGGGTTTCTATAATTGCATCAACTTTTGATGCAAGCCTCAGAAGGGTACAGCCACCACCGACAACAATACCTTCCTCAACTGCTGCCTGCAAATATAGAAAACTATCAACTAACAAGGACTGATACAAATAGGATTTTAAGAAATCAACACGGTGCAAATAGTGCATCAGAAGGCTGTGAATGGGAATATATACTGTGCCTAACACCAGATGCATTTCAGCAACACAAATAGCATTTACCTTTGTAGCATTCAGGGCATCCTCAACCCTCAGTTTCTTTTCCTTAAGCTCAGTTTCTGTCTGTGCTCCTACCTACAAAGAAAGGCAAATCATGTTTTAGTTGTTTTATTCTGCTAAGCATGCTAAATACACCAAGAGGCACCTAAGGTCTAACATTGGGCTTTACCTGAATGACAGCAACACCACCAGAGAGTTTAGCTATCCTCTCGTTTAGTTTTTCTTTCTCATATTCTTGTTCAGTAGCCTGAAAATTTGATGTTTGGGAACTAACCATTAATAAAAGCATTTTCCAAATCAAAAGTGACTTATGGAGACATGCAAGACAAGGGAATGCAGATTATCTCTATTAGCAAATGAGGGCTGTCAAAAGGAGTTGATAAACAGAGCAGAACCACAAGAAGAGGAAATGAAAATTTGAACGAAAACAGAGGAACAGAGAATTTAAGACTCTTCAGAATGCAAACCTCAATCTGGTTCTTGATTTGTGTCACCCTTTTGTTTACTTCCTCCTGTGTAGTGCCATCTCCCACTATTGTTGTTGAATCCTTGTTACTACAACCTTGGCAGCAGTTCCTAGGACCTGATTGTCTGCCTTGTCTAAGGATTGTTACTCGGGCCAAAAAAAACAACATGCATATGAAAGCAATGTCGCGGTGCTGTCAGTTTACCAAACATACAAATGGACTGAAAAACCTCAATGTGTATTTGGTGTAAATTCCTATTGCAGGCAATGTACATCAACCCAACTCTTGTACATCCCTTATCAGTAGCAACACTTAACCAAGGCATATACATCAACCCATCCTGTTGATGTTAATGACTGCAACTATGACTAATAATTGTAGGGTACAATGGGGTATAATGATCTTGATTTTTTTTTGAGAGAGTCTATTGACTCTTTTCATAAGTAGATGGCCTTGACTCTTTTCATAAGAAGATGGCCCTAATCAGGAACCTGACAACGAAAGAGAGCAACATCCTATATTACGACGGCCGAATGAATGAAGTGCCTACCAGAACACCATATATGTTGGCCATTGCTAATCGATTACTAATCATATTGCTCCGAAAGTTATAAGCAGCCAAAGCCAATTTCTTTCTTTAAAAAAAAACATGAACTATCTATTTATCCCACACCAAATGCCTAACCTAGTTGAATCAATCTATAACCATCATTAACTATGGATGAGGACCATTAAGTAGCACATTGGGAACAGACAAAACTGAGTCCAGGCAAAGTATACTAACACACCAAAAAGAGGCATATCGTCCAATATCTAGGATATGCAAGAGTAAACTGACCTGTAGATGAGGAGTTGTAGGCTTGTAGCTGCGCACACATTTTATTAATTAATGAGATACTTGGTGACCTCCCGGCCGTCCTTGATCTGGCTGAGACCTGGTGAAGGAAGCACACACAGCCTAAGGGAAAGCAATGTATCTAGAGAAGATTAACAGAGCACCCAGACCTCCGGTCGCGCACGCCCTCCACCTGCTTGACTGAAAATAGTAAATTTCTTTTAACTGAAAACTATACAGCATGTCTAGTATTTTTCTTTTTGTTAAAATAAAACACTATACATTTCTTTGCCTAGGGACAAACAATACTTTGCCTGGTTGACAACAATAGTTTTTTTAGGTGGCAAATTTATTCACTCCATGGCAATCAGATAAAAGGAGTATCTCCTAAGCAACCAATAGCTTTTAGTTATACTTGAATGCATCAAGAACAATGTAAAAAAACATATCCTAGCAAAGTTTGAATATAATGAGCCATGTAAGAGAACCTACCACAAGTGCTAGTGGTAAATTTTGCTCTCCATCCCTCCTTCCTAAACTAACCCAATTACATGCAAACATCCGGGTCCGGTCCATGATTCCCACATTATAAAGGAGCTTTTGAAGTACTGCAAGAGAAAATTGCCTAAAAACACAGCACTGTACATTCAATCCTACACTACTTAGCGGGCCAAAATATCTATGTTGAGCTTTTTAGGCCTGAATATACACTTGACATGGCATGAATTTAGATCATGTGCATATCTAGTTCAAGCACAAGGATTCAATTGGATATGATTCCCACATTATAAAGGAGCTTTTGAAGTAGAGTAAAAAAAAAACAGTGAATCATTTATATCCAGACTAATTTGATAATTATGGCAAAAGGAAAATTCTATAGTACCAGACTGATAATTAGGCAAAAGGGAAAATTCTATAGTACCTGCACGAGATGAGGGGTCACTGGTGGCTCTAGTAGGAGAATTTGAATGGGAACTCGTCAGCTGGCAGATCGAAATGTCGAAATCTGTGAAATTAATGAAAATTCATGAAATCCAAGATATAGTAAAACATAACCAGTCATGCCACCGTGGTTAAAGGGTTGCAACATTTTGTTGGCAATCTAAATTACTAAGAATTGCAATGGTTTTGCTGATCTGAATGTTAATTTATTTCAGGCAATGACTTCAGTGTGCTATTCTCAATGTAGATCTTTTTCTATCTAGTAGCATCAAACATGTGAATAAAGACCTAATTCACAGGTTTCCTTGTCACTATAGCAGCACAATGCATAACACAGGTGAGCTTTACTTGAGCTAGCTGCAGTGGTAACCACAGGTTAGTAGTCTTGTGAGAATTATCTGCACTGCTTAATGCTTAATAACAAGCTACACACAACCTGCATCTAATATGGATGCAAAACAAGGAAAGTATCATGCTTCTTGGTAGTGTTGTGATCGTTATACCTTACTGCATCTACTCAACTGAAAGGTTAATAATAAGATCTGCCATGAAGACCACGAATTAAAGAAGAGCTGCAGGTGTGGTGTTTGCTGTCAGTTGAGAGGAATATCTTCCCGTAGGCATCATATTCATATCTTCTGCTGAAGTTGAGAGGAATATGTGCCAATGCCAATGCCTTACCTTCATTGATGGATGGATGCCTTGCCAAGCATCCGAGAGTTTTCCACTCAGCAGGGAATTTCATCAAACACCTTACATGCATATGCCAACTGACAAGAGGCAGTCAGAAACAGAGAGAGAGAGAGAGAGCAGTGCACTGACGCATCCATTCCTTGTACGTGGCTAGGCGACCAGCACATCCTCCTCCATGGAGGCCGCCAGGGGCCTCGCTGTTGACTGCCTCCATGCACATCCCAAGCCCCTCCCTGGTTAAAACTGATGCCACCACCGCGTCTCCACCCTACACTCAGGCCTGCGAGGAAGAGTGAGAGAAGAGGAAGAGAGGGAGCTAGGGCCTTGTCACCTCGATGAGCTGCGCCCCGCCCCGTGGATCTGAGCCGCCGCCGCGTCGGGAGGCCACCCGTGATGGGGTTGCCACGCCGGAGCTCGCCCGTGCCAGGGCCGCCGCCGGAGAGAGGAGTGGCTACCGCAGGTCGCGTTCATTGCGAAGGGAGGAGCCGCCGCTGTAGGGGAGGGTGCTCGTCGTGGAGAGAAGCTGCCACCAGAGAGGAGGAGCGGCTGCCGGAGAGCGTGGTCGTCACGGGAAGGAATGGTCGATGGATCCGGTCGTGGTCATCGCAGGTTGGATGCGACGACGGAGCAGGCGCGACGGCGAGGATGACGGCGCGGCCGCATGGGGGAGCGAGCGGGATCTCTCGAAGGGGAGCACACGCGCGGGGGAGGGTGAGAGAGCGGGATCTCGCGATGAGAAGCAGAGCGGGAGGAGCATGGGGGGTGGGATCGCTGGAGGCAGGACGATGGACCACAGTGAAATGTCGCACCAAAATATGTTCATTTTTTAGTCTTTTAAGTTGTAGGTGATTCCTTGGGCTGCTATCTAGGCCTTATTTAGATCACCTCCAAATTCTAAGTTTTTTCACTCTCTTTCCATCACATCAATTTTTGGACGTATGTATGGAGCATTAAATGTAGGTAAAAAATAACTAATTGCACAGTTTGGTTGTAAATCACGAGACGAATCTTTTGAGCCTAGTTAGTCTATGATCGAACAAAGTTTGTTAAATACAAATGAAACATGCTATAGTGTCCAGATTATAAAAATTTGCAATCTAAACGAGGCCCTACTCAAGAAGCTGGAGGTGATGCCACTGCTGCCAACTGTGGGATATATAGGGCGTGGCCAGCTGAGGAGAGCTAGGCTAGCATGCGACAGGTCCAACTGGTGCAACACGTGCTTGTTTGGTTCATTTTCAGCCAGGCTAGTGCGTGATTTTGTTTGTTTGCCTGCACATGTGTAATGGATCACCTTGGAGTGGCATGCGGTTACCACCGAATTCTTCCCCTTCTCTTCTTTGAGGCATTTCCACAAACAGGTGGAACGCACAACCTCCATGGGCACACCACCTCCATCCACCGCCGTATCAGTTTCCATCCATGCCACCGCCGTCGGCACACCTCCGTGGCGACCGCGTCCTCGTCTCGGCCGTGCCGCGCGGCGCGCTCCGGCTCCCGTGGCCGCCGTCGCCGGCCGATGCCCCTGCGCCCCGCGAAATCGATCTCCTTGCCGCGGCGGCCGGGTCGGAGGAGTGCGGCGAGGGCGGCGTGCTGATAGGACGCCGCCATGGGCGATGGTGGCGCCGACCAGCAGCTTGCCGAGCTCCTCGTCGTTGCGGATGGCAAGGAGAACGTGGCGCGGGATGATGCACGTCTTCTTTGTTGTCCCTGGCCGCGTGCTTGCCGAGCTCCTCGTCGTTGCGGACCCGCGAAGGTCCTGCGCCGCGCACCACCACCGTCCGGCCGAGCCCCGGACGCGGCCCTCCTCTCCTCCGGCGCGCAGTAGCAACGACTGTCCTCCATGGCATCGAGGTGGTTGTGCGGCGGAGAGGGGCAGCCGCGGCAGATGCACGCGGCGGCGGAGGGGCGCCTGGAGGAAGAGGAAGGCGAGGGCGAGGAGGAGGAAGACCCGTACTCGCGGTCGCGGGGGCTGGCGCGGACGTACAGGCGGCGGTGCGTGAGGAGGAATCAGAGAGGTGAGTGAAACTCGCGACTCGGGAAGGCGACGGTACTGGGGCATTGCGTCCTGAGAGAGCCGGGCTCCGGAGAAACGAAGGGGAGGGCCGGGAGGGCCGTTCCTCCGGGACCCAGCTCCAACTGCTTTAAGCAGCGTGCGGGCCAGGCCCAAAACATCTCTAGGCAAACAAATAAGGGCGCTTGCACGTCCTGGGCCTGGCTCAACCCCGTCCAGACAAACAAACACGTCCATACTGGCCGAAACCTTCAGTTTGCATCAGGCCCAACACGCTACTTCCGGGAGTGGCATTGGCATCTCTCCGTTCAAGAGGGTGTTGGGTCAGCCCAGAAATAAAATAACAACCAGGTCCAAAGCCAGCCTAGTAAAAGCCCATCCAATCAGGCCAAACCGCCTTATGGCCTCAAGCTCTAAATCGCCCTGACACCACGTACACGCGTTGCCTTCACAGCCCATTATCCTTAGCCGCTGCGGGCCCCACGCCGCCACGTTTCGATCCCCCGCGTATATTCCGGGCCAACCATCACACGCCTCTTCTGTCTTCTCTCCATTCCTTTTCGTGCCCATCGCGCGACACGATCACACGAAGGAAAGCCGAAGCCCAACGGAACCGAGGGGGCAGAGAACGGGGCGGGGAATCCAGAGACGCCGCCTCATCCGAGCTCCGAGCCTTATCGGTGGCCATGATGCTGCGCGCGGCGGGCAGGCGTCTCCTCGGCGTAGGAGGCGGAGAGGCTGCGCTGCCGGCGCCCGCGATCGCTGCTGCGGCGGCGGTGGCGGGCAGGAGCAGAGGGTACCACGAGCGGGTGGTGGACCACTACAACAACCCGCGCAACGTGGGGTCCTTCGACAAGGACGACGCGGACGTCGGCACGGGGATCGTCGGCGCGCCGGCGTGCGGGGACGTCATGAAGCTGCAGATCCGTGTCGACGAGGGCTCCGGCAGGATCGTCGACGCGCGCTTCAAGACCTTCGGCTGCGGCTCCGCCATCGCGTCCTCCTCCGTCGGTGAGCAGAACCAGCTCCCTATTCCGTGTCGCGCAGGAGTATATTGTTCATGCAAAATTCGTGATTATTAAGTCACGAGACCTTTCTGGGATATTCACAATCTCACCAATTATATATCTTCTCTGCGGTGATAGCGACAAGAAAGAGAAACCGTAGCTGATCGTGATAATTAAACTGGAAAATTAGGATGGGTCACATGGTCAGTGTAGTTTCCGCTGGAATCTTAGATTTTTCCCTGTATTAGTAGAATTGCAGTTTTTTTTAAAAAAAGTACTTCTGTTTTATAGATACATGGCTTTAATTGTGTATTTAAACATAGTGTAATTAGATACATAGTAGAAAAATAGAACAACTTACAATTTGAAAACGAATGGCATCACATTGGTTTTTATTAACAATTGGGCGCTACGAAATGTTGAGATGAGTACCAGAGTCACAATTGTGTTTCTGGGGTAATCACTTACTATTTGTTAGTAGTCCATAGTTATGTCATTCACTAAGTTCTTTGTTGTGGCTGAAGTCTCTTGTGAGCCTGTAAGGCGTCCTGGTTCATATACTCCGAAAAAATAATAGGAGGATAATGAAAAAAAAAAAACTTCATATGGTGTTCAGAACTTAGATCCACTGTGAACAAAAACCTTGTTCACAGGTGTGGGTCTGCCGGGTGTTCAGAACTTAAATCCATTGTGAACAAAAACGTTGTTCATATGGTTGATTAGTTTACTAGTACTAGGTGTTCAGAACTACATATCTGTTTTTTTTAAAAAAAAAACAGAACTGGTAGGTGCACTGCATTTTCATTTAGTAGAGAGCAAAGTCTGAAAAAAACTAAATATCCATTTTGAGGTAAAAACAGTAGGGGATATCTTAATATTGCTGTAAAAACTTGGGTCCACTAAACTAATAAAAAATAAAATATTGATGTAACAAATAATAAAAAAAAACAGCGCTAGAAGGAGGGCTTGAACCTCCGACCTTGTGGTTAACAGCCACACGCTCTAACCAACTGAGCTATTCCAGCTATGCACACTGTGGGTTTGCTTATTCTTTTAGCAATTGCATCCACTTTGCAACTTTAGTTTATGCAACTTATGTGGAGCCACCATCAATCTTATATTCAACCAAGTAACAGCTGATTTTGCCATAAAGGACATGCTTTTGGTGATTTAGCTAATATAATATTGTGGTTTTACAACTAACAATGTTGTTACCATAATTTATAAGTTATCTATTTGGGTGAATTATGCACTTGGATATGACCCGTTTAGACTAAAGAAGGTCACAAGGTTAAATGACTGTATGCTTATATTTTGCAGGTTATAATACTACTTTTTACGCTCAGTGTTTTGTATAGCGCATGTCGAGCCTAGAACAGTGGAACTCACACTACTATGTATCGATGCTCAGTTGCCATGCCATTTCCTATCTGCGTTTGGATGGCTCCACCACCACACAGCTCACCGTGCAGAAGTCTGCCATGCCATACCTGCTTAGTTTTTATTTTACCGACTTGCTTTCATCCATCAGTGTTTTTTTCCTCCTAGCATTTTTTCCTTATAATTTTATACCCATTTTTTGAATATATAGTTGGTTCCTTATTCATTTCTGCTGTGTTACAGCTACCGAATGGGTCAAGGGCAAGCAAATGGAGGAAGTAGTAGCGATCAAAAACACGTAAGTTATGAATCGGCCTGGAATTCGTCGTCCCATTCCATATTTCTTGGAGTTGTACTGATACATCTGTCTACGTCTTTCCATTTTTGCAGCGAGATTGCGAAGCACCTGTCTCTTCCACCGGTAAAGCTCCACTGCAGCATGCTTGCTGAGGATGCAATTAAGGCCGCCGTGAAGGATTACGAGGCAAAGAAAGGGAAGCTGGCCAAGACAGAGGAGCAGGACATCCCATCCCCATAAGAGCGCAGCTACCTCGAGCGAGCATAGTAGTATGTATATGTAACGAGCGAGGAACTCATTCGCCAAAAGAGCAAGTCTGCATGTATATATAAGCTAGGTGGCTACGATGTTTGGATTTCATCGAATAAGCGAACTTGCTGCAGTGTGGTTCTGCACATAAATAAGGTCTGCCCGTTGCCCTTATCTGCTTAGTCGGAGCATGCATGCTTAGATTGATTGAGCAATGTTGTTGAGATCAGGATCACAGGGCTCCGGCTCTGACTAGCCCTGGCGTTCAGTTCTACCGAACCGATCGGTTCTTCAGTTTTTGAAGAAGTTCGGTTCTCAGAAAACCAGCACCGATGGGTTCTTCAAAAAATATGGAACCGACCAAGTTCGGTATCGGTTCTTTCGGTTCAGTTCCGGGTAGAACGAAAAAAAAAACAGCAGTGCGCGATGAGGGCGGCGAGGCGGCACCACGGCAGTAGGGCAGCAGGCGGCGGGACGCGGCCCGGTAGGGCGCGGCGGAGGTGCGGGTGGCGGGTGGGGATCTTTGCGGCCTTGCTGGTGGGGATCTGGCGCCCGGGACCGGGGAGGCCGAGAGGGCTTGGGAGGGCGGCAGGGGCGGGGGGCGCGCGGGGCACCGGCAAGCAGTGGCGGCTGCAGGTGGGGATGTGGCGTGGTTGAGGAGGCCAGGAGGTCTCGGGGTGGAGACTAGAGTGGCTACTGGCTAGGGTTACTCGCTCAGTCGCTCGGGGTCAAGGCGTCAAGCAAACAAGCAGTAGTTCAAGTTGGGCCTTAATGGGCCTCCGGTTTCTTCGGTTATTTCGGTTAACCGAGGGGAGGAACCGATTTAACCGAATAAAGTTTGGTTCCTAAGAACTGAGAACCGAATAGGTAACTGAAATTTCGGTTCTCGGTTAGTTCGGTTCGGTTCTAGGTTAGTTCGGTTCGATTCTCGGTAAAATTTGCCCGTGCTAGCCTAACTTCTTGCCCCTCCTTGCAAGAAGCTCCGACAAACGGCATCTTGCAAGGAGCCCGGGGGAGCTACGAACATTTTTTATAGAAAAGTTAAGAGCCAAAAAAAAAGTGCTACAAAATTGCCGCTGGAACCATTTTTACTAAACATTTTCCAATATAACTCTATCTCTACCTTAGAAAGTTGCTCCACGTTGAAGAGCTAGGGTCGAGCCTTTTTTTGTTAGGGCCCATGAACAACATGGGAATAAAAAATGAATGGAGGTAGAAAATGGAGGATTCAGAAACATAGGTTTCGTACGTGCTTTGGATGAACTGCATAGGGAAAATACAAGATGTTTGGATGGTTTGGATGAACCACATAGGAAAACAACAGTACGTAAGTTAATTAGAAAATAACTATGATCTTATCTCCAAAGAACAATGTTACTATTTCCATTGAAAAATAAAGAACAATATTTATATATAAAAAATCTAAGCCAACCATGATCTTATCCATCCCTTTCTAGACGCATGTATTTCTCCTCTCTCTCTCTCTCTCTCTCTCTTCACTTGCCGTTGACTTTGACTTGCAACAACTCAACCGTGTAGCTGACGGATGACGTGGCGTCACTTGAGCTTCTCTTCCTCCAAGCACAGGTTGACATCTGGCTAACACATGCTGACATTGCACATTACGCGGCACGAGCCTGCCACGATTAGTCCCTCCTTGAAATGGCTAAGGCGCATGTGCCTCTCTCCACTCCTCAAGATTAAGGCTAAAACGAATCCCCAGCATCCTGACTCTCGAGAGAACTTTGTGTTTGTTCTACTGCTATGAACTCGCACCAAATTCTCATCCATTCTCTGGGCAAACCTTTTTCTTCAGATAAAGATTCTCTGGGTAAACTGAACTAGTATACTGACACGTAGCGGCATGTCGGATCCTTAGCTTTGCCATGGCCAAAAGGGGCACGCTTGCAAACATATGCAGACCCCTGCACTGCAAGTCTGCAAGATCCAAACCTCCCCGTCCACACTATCGAACCGCAGCCTTTAAGCTCACTCCAAGCATATCCATGCAGCCAGGGCACCGCAAACAAATAAGAGCCGCCATGCACCATCACAGGCTGTGCTGTGTGCTGGCTGAGATCAATCGAGGAAAGGAATTGGATCCGAAGCAAGCAACTTACCACTAGCCGGTACGTAGTAGCAACGAACGATGTCGTCCTCGACGACGGCGGCGCCACTCTTCCCCACCGGCGGCACACGGCCGCTGCAGCAGGTGCCTTCGCTAGCCGCCGGAGACGGCGGCGGCGGCGGGTCGTACACGGCGGTGTTCGTGGTGCTGGGAGTGATCGCGGCGCTGCTGGTGATCTCCTGCCTCGTGGGGCAGGTCTGCACCAAGAAGCACCTGCGGCCCCGCCCGCGACGGGACCGCGTCGCCTACTACGACGACGACGGCATGGAGGGTGGGTTCGGCCCGCCTCACCACGGCGGCATTGCCAAGATGGAGGCGCCGGCGCCGCCGGTGTCGTCGGTGGAGACGCGGGCGGCCGGTGCCGCCGCTGCCGCCGTGCAACAGACTGCGGCGTGAAGGTTACCAGATGAATAGGTGATATGAAAGTGATGCCTCTGTACGTACGATAGTTGTAGCTATGGCTTCTTCTCATCAGGTTGTTTGCTAACTTCGCTGATGTGCCCTGTGCATATATAGTCTTGAAATCCTTGTATGAAAAGAATTGGTCTCCACGACTGTAAAGATGGAATTGTCGTTGTGAAAATACCTAGTGAATGCAATACAAACCAAAGCATTCATGTCGCAGAGAGAGCATATCATGCAGGATCATGTACAGTAGTGCAAAATTGTTCCTCATTTTTTTTTTAATAATGGGAATATTGTTCCAGCATCCGCATCATAGGCCTAAAAGCGGCTCGCAGCATAGCGAAGGCATGTTTGGATGGAGGTGTGGTAAAGTTGTTCGGGCCATGTAATGCTCGGGCGTCCGATTTTGAACACTTTGTACCTATGATCGATCGATTGTCTGTCCAGGCAATATCCGAGAGACAAGATCCAAGCATACTTGCGTTTGTTATGATTGAACCGAACTTGTAAGCTGGAATCCCCAGGAAAACTATATTAAGCTGGAATCTTTTTAGCCAACGAACATTATTTTTTTTTCTCAGCAAAACTATATTGCTTTTAGCCATATTATTAGCCAAGCAAACATGAGAATTGCTTTTAATGCAGGGCTGCAGTCTTTGGTCTAAAGATCCAAGCATACTCTAAAGTGCATGCGAAGACAAGAGCCGTAGATCGATGACGAGTAGAAGGACCGGAGCGACAAAGATAACAATTCTCCCATAAAACACCGTAAATATATATAGGTATATATACATCGGTACACGTCGCTAATTTCATTTGTTGGCCAACTCATGGATTGACATATGTAGGAAATTTTATTATACGGACGAGGAGGTTTGGGATTAGAGAGATGTTTCGCAAATCAATCAACTCGATCGTAAACTAAATCTTGACACTATATAAGACTACTCATAACAATCTTTTTTCTATGCACAAATCTAATGGATTATGAATGCACTACGAGATAATAGCTTAAAAGCCGTATCGAAATTATGTGTCAATATATGAGGCCGACAACGTTATAACCCCAATGTACTTGTTCAAATTGGGGGCAAAGCCTTGGTTAGTTGTTGGAGCCAGAGGATAATATTTTGTATGAGAGACTGACTATTACAACTACATGGTTGGGACAATCTAATTCTTTTTTTTTTAGAAAAAGAGGGAAACAAATAAAACTTGAATCAAATGAGTATGAATTTTTACTATAATTCAAGCATACAATAATTAGCCCACCATAAAAAATTTCACCACAATTGGACCATATAGAAGCTGCAGCTATGAATTATTTTATTTAATTATAGAAAAGCATAGATATAAAGCTATAACAAAAACTTTATACTAAAGAATACCATATTATATGTTCATTGTGTAGATCTACTCATGTGGAGTCCAACAAAATTGGATTTTCCATTTTATGATTTTTATGTGATTTACTATGATTTTTCAAATATTCAGTGGAAATAAATAAAAAAGAAAAAGACAAAACTACCATCACTGTAGCAAACTGCCGTGCAAAACCACTTGGGGTTATTTGACCGGTTTTGAAAAGTTCAGGAGGTAAAAAAAATCCGATTTTATAGTTTAGGGTGAAGTGGTCCACCCTGAATAGTTAGGGGTTATGCAGACTTTTTCCTATACTAGATATATGCCCATGTATTGCACAGGAACCATGATTTTTTGTCACGCCTACAGCCAATAGCACAATTAGCACTTAATAGTTTTTTTTTCAAAAATCACCGATGGTGATGGAGTCAAACACTCCGACACCTTTTTTTTAAATCCTGGATTTTTCCTCTAAGTTTTAGTTTAGGAAGAGAAATATTTGGATACCCTATTCTAAACTTTGGATAATCCATATGTAATTGGTGTCCGCACACAATTGGATTCGGATTATTATTCGTATGTACTTGGTGTCCGTACACAATCGGAATTGGATATGGATATTAAAATTGTTTTCCATATCTTCAAACTTAGGATTCGGATAGGTGGGGAATGGAAAATTTTCGGCACCACTTTCACCTCTAAATTATTCGCATACATATTGGAATTAATTAGTGAACCTCGTATTTTAGCCCAACTACATGCATGATGGGCCTACTATGCTATGACGCACGCCCTCCCGGCCAGTCTGTTATGCACTAGCAATTTGCGCATGCCCATGCGCGCGAGTCACATGTCGTGCTTGTATCTAGGCAATGCAGAATTCGTAATGAAAAAGCACTGATAGTGAACGCAATAGGCATTTGCATGCACCGTTTAGTTAACACGTAGTCCACTAATATATTTAAAACAGCTGTGATCACGTGTGATATGTCGAAACAACACATATATATTTTACATGAGACATAAAGAGTGTTCAAATAGTACTTAGTCTTACATGAGGCAGGCCTACACTGACACATTAGGATGTCTAAGCAGTACATATATTTTACATAGAACAGTCTTAGGATAGAAGACAAAGGAGACATACACTGTGAGATGGCACAACATAGCATACTGCATACAACAAAAGTCATAATAGTAGATGATAAGATATAGGCCCTAAGAAAATTAGCATATACTTGAGAGGCTGCCCTGATCTCCAGTGCCATAAGAGCACAACGCTTAGCACATGTCAGAGGAGCATAGGGTTAGCTATAATCGGCATGTTCGCTGGTTGGTTTTTGGATTGATAAGTCTGACTGATGCTGGTTTGTTGTGAGAGAAAAATAATGTTGGCTGGCTGAAACCAATAAACGAACAGGCTGAATATTTAAGAGAAATAGCTACTGCTCTTGAGCTTCTCCTGATCTTAGTTATGAAATGTCACTGTATTAAAGTCTTAGGTTCTAGCTGAATATCACCTCTATGCTGCTGCTCATAAGCTTCTTCGAGGATCTCCCTACCCACGTCAAATTCTTCCGCTGATATACAAAAGTCGGACAAGCATGTCGCAGGCGCGCGCACGAAGTCGGGTTGGACGAAACCCATCGATGCTTTTTAGGTGTAGATAGAAGATTCTCCTATCTGCACCTAGAACTAGAAGTACCTGCCCCAGCTGCCCGGACCTCCTCCACGGCCACGGGGCTCTGATCCTCTGATCGGCTGATCCTCGTGGAGACCAACTGGCCACCGGCCACGGCGTTGCCAACATGGAAGGCGTCCCCGCGATACGTACGGGCCTCTGCTGCATCAGATCGCGGACCACAACTCTACGAGTCCACAACGACGGTAATGGAGAAGCAGAGCACACACCATGACGCCACGCTAGTCGCCACTGGGATGAAGATCGTCAGATGGATGGCCACCCAGTACTGACTACTGAGACCGCGAAATTTTATCTCCTTTTAGTTTGACTGGCAGGTAAGGCAGGCAGAGGAACACCGAACACACCACAACAATAACATTACTTGTCGTATGCACATATTTTAGGCAGAAATGCACATGAATTCCAGGCAATGCAAGACACATAAACATTTTAGACTTTAATTACTAGACAGCACCACACGACCTGGATCTGGATCCGATGACTTGGCAGCAGGCAGCAGGGTGCATGCAGTGCACACAAGCCCCTGCTTGAATTTTGATCCTTCTCCAAATGCCTGATTACGTATATCACTAGCTACCTACTCACATAAATTATGTACTAAGTACTAACAATGTAGTAGTAGTATGTATGCATCGCCGAGGACTCAATAAATTTGCACGACTATATTATATTATACATACTGGTCATGCATGATATGATCCCATAGTTTCCACTTCTTCCACCTTTATTATTAGTTTTGCAATTATCATGTATAGGCATGTAGCACAGCATGCATGGAGCGCAACAGATGAACTGAGAACTGAGAACACGTGGCGGCGGGTATGGAGAGGACTGGTGCTGTACCTGTACTACGTACGTACTGCTGCTGATGTAGACTACAGTAGTAGATATCTCCTCACGTCAACTGGATCGTGTACGTATATAGCATAGCTAAGCTGTTCACGCATGGCCCCTGCTTCTGTTGCGCGCCTTTTTCCATCGTGCATTTTGTGTCGGTCCAGCTTCATACTCCTATTTTCCCAGGAGTACTCTACTACTGCTTTGTTCTCCGGATGCAGATGTTGGTAGCCAAACATATAGCAGGTGTTGTTCGGCTGATGGTTTCTGTGGCTGATAAGCCGGATGATGCTGTTTTATTGTGAGAGAAAAAACACTGTACTACGACTGATAAGCTAAATATAATGCAAGCTAGATGCAGATGCTGGTAGCCAGCAGAACTCAAGCTAGTGTGTGTGGTCGAGGCCGATGCATGTGTTGCAGGAACAGGGCGGAAGAACAGTACCATGTCGCGTTCTCCACGTGCACGTGCACTGTCGCGTTCCCGTCTCGATCTGCCTGCCCCTGCATTCGACCATTTCTCTTGCCATCCGTCTTGCTTGTCAGCATATGCTACCTCCAGTAACGCATGACGACGCGCGCTAAACGTTACTGATGGTCGTTGCTTACTCTCTTTTCTAAAATTATATTTAGTAATGGAACATTTACTCTTTTTTATTACATATAATATAGATTTAGACACTTATTATACATGCTAATTACGTGTGAACATACGCACAACAATTAATCGACGTACGTACCTCTATGAATGTATCTACAAGACTAGCGCTAGCAGACTTCTCGCGGTCGATGGACACATATGGTCTAAATATTATTGCCGTCAAATAAAACTAGAATAATATGAACATCTACGTTAATTTGAAAACTTTTATACACAAGTCGTACCGCAAAAAAACCGAGCGTTCGCGTCATCACTTGCACCTGTCGCCTTCTTCTGATCAATAATGCAAGCACTCTCACGTCCCAAAGCCTTGTCCCAAAAGTGCCGCTGAAGTTGCAGGCACCCCACAACACAGTAGTAGCAGCAGCCAGCTCTCGGGTCCTCCTCACACACCGAAGCACCGAACTCTCTCCGAAGCCTGAACTCCTCGATCTCTTGCCTCCACCTCCACCAAGGGACACCGTTGTTCTTCTCTTTTTCAATTCTCACGGGCGCGTGCACTGCATCGCGCTCGCAGGCATGTGATGCGGTTACTACGGTCGCTGCAACTGCAACGCGAGCTAGCAAAGCAAACCACTCGTCCGTCCACTCTCCATCTCCCCCTGCTGTGACTGCACAGAATCAGACACCCGTTGGCTGCTACAGTGACATTTGTACCACCCCCCACAGAATCAGACACGAGATCGATGATGGTGACAGTGAGTGGGTGGATGGGACTTCTACCCGCCCGGTAGCTCCGCTCCACTCAAAATGGGAATGGGTAGCCCCCAAAAAAAACTAGCACTAGCGTGAGACCGAAAGCCCCAGCCCCAGCCACAGCCACAGCCACAGCCACAGCCACAAAGAGGGCTTTGCTGTTTCGGAGCACTGTGGCTACCTGTCCTCCGCCTGCCCGCGGCGATCACCGTTCCGTGTATGGTCGCCTGTAGAGTGAGTCACCCATCCCATCGTCCAGCTGTAATAAAAAAGTTACCTCACTGTCACCATCATCGATCGCCCGCCCGACGACGAGGCGAGAGTAGATTCGGTCGCGCGCTCTTGGTGGTGGTGTCTCCTCTCGCTTGTTTTTCTTGCCGCGAAATGGTGACGGCGGCCAGAACGCGCGGTGCGTCTCACCGGCGTGCGAGGCTGGCCAGCCTGTGCGTGTGCAGTTCTTGAATTTTACTGTCAGGCGCAGCGGCGGTAACACAGGCGAGGTGTTTTTTCTTCTCTTTTACCCGCCATGCGGGCCGCGGGCTCGCAGTGCACGCGCTGCGGCTGCTCGCGTGCGGTCGTCGTACGTGGCCCCGAAACATTACAAAACCCACCTACAAAACGCTCGCCGCGTCGTGTCGCGATCATTTCGACCGAGGCAGGCGTTTCGGTTCAATTCCCGAGCCGACCTCGCTGGCTCGCTCACTGCGTGTGCGGCCGCGCATGCCTCTGCGCTGCTGTGCGATGGGCAGGGAGAGGGGGGAGGAGCAGCAGCAGCGCGCGGCGGCGGCGGCGGTGCCGAGGCGCGGGCGCTGGTTCGACGGGGAGCAGCAGCCGCCCGCGGCGTCGTCGGCGGTGGCGGGGCGGGCGGGGTGGAGGTGCCGGTCGTGCGCGGCGGCGGCGATCGCGGACTGCGTCGCGCTGGGGTGCTGCCCGTGCGCGGTCGTCGCGCTGCTGGGGCTGGCGCTCGTCAGGGCGCCGCTCGCCGTGGGCCGCCGCCTCCGGAGGCGCAGGCTGTCCCTGCTGCGCAGGAAGCGGGTGCGCGACGTCGCGGCCTCCTCCGCGTCGGCCAAGGGCGCCAAGGCGGCGGGCGCCGCACCCGGCGCTGGCAGCGGGACGCTGCTGGACGCGGCCGACGACCACGCCACCGTCGCAGCGGCAGCCGCGCCGGTACAGCAGCAGCAGCAGCAGCAGGCCGAGGCGGAGGAGCTGGCGTGGCTGGACGAGATGTACCGGGTCGGCCACTGGGGCTTCGGCCGCGTCTCCTTCTCGGGGTCGGCGGGGAAAACCCCGTGACCACTGGCGCGAGGGGAGCCAGGCGCTACCCGCTACCCGCCAGCCGCACGAGTGGAGTGCCGTGCGGCGGCGGTCGCGGGGGGAGCAGAGCAGGTGCACGTCCTCGTCTCGTCCGACGCGCCCAACGTGCGTCGCTGCTGTATGATTGACTGGTGCGCCGGTCCCGGCCGACGGGACGCGACGCGACGTGCCGACGTGGCTGATTGGTTTTGATGGCCTCGTCGTCGTCTCTCTAGGAGCGGGGGTAGATCTCGTGCCGGACCTTGTCGGGTGCACGGCAAGTTTGGCGCCTAGCTAGTTTGGGCCCGGCCCCTTGGTGCGCGGCCTCTCGGCCTGTGTGTGTGTGTGGGCGTGGCCGTGTGGGTGGGAGAGTAACGTAGCGTAGCGTAGGTGTAGTGTAGTGTAAAATGGTGGGTCGGAACTGCACGGGCAGGCCTTTCTAGCTTGCACCCGTTGCACGGACCACGATGTGAAAAGCCTTTCTAGCTTGCACCCGTTGCACGGACCACGATGTGAAAAGTGTGGCCTTTGTGTTCGTGCGGCTGGGAAAAAAATATTTTTCTGTGGACTGCTTGGCCTCTGTGACTTTCTGTATGGTTTTGCAGTAGCTGTGATAATCTCGAAATTAATGTTACAACTGTTTTATTTTTGTGAATCCTAGTATTACTACTTTTTTTAGATAATGAAAAAAAATCCGGCTTCATCCTCGAAATAGAGGAATCAGACCACACTCAATATAGTAGCTAGGGTTGCACACTCAAGCAACCAAACAACAAGCTCTAAAGTTTACATAGCAATCCTACAAACAAAAGGCCATCCATAAGAGGCAAAAAAAAAAGCAATTGCCGTTGACTCCAGGGTAGCGCACACAGAGGCGATGAGCGACTTAGAGGCATCATTACGCTGCAATTGACTCCAAAAGTGGAACCAATGTGTCCCTCTGAATAAAACCTGCAAAAAAGTTTTAGGCTTCCAATTATCAAACACAACATCGTTTCTTGATAGCTAAATAGATCAACAAAAAGTTGTGGCTCCCGTTACAAAAGCTTATTTTTCTTCCCAACCTGTTTACACCAATCTCCAAATAAGTTATCTGCATTTAACGGTGCAACAATACCAAACACGGTATGCAAAGCCCGCCTAAGAAATTTAGCATAGCGACACTCAAAAAAGAGATGTTGAATAGTCTCTATTTTACTACAAAGACAACAATGAGTGTTCCCATGCCAATTCCTTCTAGCTAAGTTATCTTTTGTTAATACCACCCCCTTTTTGAAGAACCACGTGAAGATTTTTATTGTCAAAGGAAGTTTCATCTTCCAAATTTCTTTGTGAGGCCTTGATGCCATTGTTAATTAGGTAATGATACATTGACCTAACCGTGAAAGAACCATCCTGACTCAATGACCAAGTGATAGTATCATTTACATCATGTAATTCTACATCGATAAGGGATGAAACCAGATTATTCTATTCTAGCAGGTTATTCCCTATTAGTCAGTCTGTTCGGGAGGCCGTATCGTATCGTGGATTATTTACTGCTGGCTGGTTTGGTGTGAGAGGCATGAAACCAGATTGATTCTGAAAGAGACATTTAGGGGAACCGTGCCAAAGACCTCGAAAACCGTAGCTTGTTTCTTGCTAAGGCCCCGTTTAGATCAAATTTTTTTTGGATTTTGGCTCACTGTAGCATTTCATTTGTATTTGGTAATTAGTGTCTAATTATGGACTAATTAGGTTCAAAAGGGGAACCCCGTGCAATTAGACATTTAGTACTACATGCATGTGCCATAAGAATGTGATGTGGTAGCAAAATTTTTGGAATCTTGCCCTAACTATGTTGAAAAGGCTTGGAAATCTATTTTTTAGAAGTTGGTTCCCTAACCATTTGTCCTCCCAGAACCTAAGTTGGGTTTCATCCCCTAACTTGAACTTCACTAGATTTAAGAACTGGTCTTTCACGCCTCCATTAACCCCACCCAAAACTGAGAATCTCCTGGCCGTTTACATACTTGGGTAAGAGTCTCATTCTTAATATGAGAATCTCCTAGTATTACTGCTACATCTCTAATTTTCTATTTAGTACTACTAAAATATGAGTACTATAGTACATCGGATCAGAGAAGCTCAATACTGACGCCGTGTTTCAGAAAGAAGATAACAAGGGGGCGACAGCTTGTGTTCTACGTGACTATCGAGGAGATGTCAAGCTGGCCCAGGCCTTGTGGTATGACAGCAGTTTGGATGTGTGCACCATGGAGGCACTTGCATGTAGAGATGGTTTGAAGCTTGCTGTTGATCATGGCGTCCAGCAAGTGCTACTGGAAACTGATTGCCTTGAACTAGTCCAACTATATATGGAAGAAGAAGGAGATGCGAAGATCAATCGTTGGGACAGTTCTCAAGGAGATTGAAGCTCTTAGCCTAGCCTTTCAAGATTTTTCTTTTTCTCATATTAGTCAGTCTTGTAATAAAGTAGCTCATTGTTTAGCTAGACAAGTCACGAGTTCACATCGCATGGAGAGGTGGCATGTAACTCCATCATGTGTTGCGGACTTGGTGTTCCAGGAGGCTTCGGCTGGTTGATTATAATACAAGGCAGGCAAGTAAAAAAAAATCATCCAATAATTTCGAGAAGAAATAAAAAACGCAGGAGTGTTTTTTTTTGTCTGCAAAAGGTAATACATGAAGTTTGAAAAAATAGTAACAGATGAACATTGGCCGAAGCAGAGGAAAGAGAGATAGAGAGATGATCCAGAATTTGGGCCCATTAACTTGAAGATGAGGGAGGACGGCCATCTAGCCATCTAGGTTTTCCAAAAAAAAAATAGCCATCTAGGTCAACCAAATAGCCCTTCTGTTCCATTGCTTCCATTCATACGCAAAACCTTACGGAACAAGCAGCCAGTACTAGTGCTACGAAGTTGTTGATTAATGCAGCAACACACGTGCAAGCAAGAAGGACGCAATGCCACCGTGCAAGCGCAACATTATTCTTTTGAGAGAATTCCCTCGTTACCATCAAAACTTTTATTAGTTCCTTGATTGCCATAAAAAATTATAGCATTCCTTGGTTGCCATCAATTTCTCATTTTTTTATTCCTTCCTTGCCATCACCGTTACATATCTGAGTTTTGTTCCCTTAACTGCCATCGATTTACATAATTTGATTCCTTAATTGCCATTGAGGAAACGGAGTGGTGTGAGCCGTGTTCACATGCATGGGTGATTTTCGTTTTTGCCCATGCCCACATGAAAGCGGCGGGCTGCTCCCAGCATGCAGCGGCCCAAAAAAAAAAATCGCTCTTGACACGCCATCGCGGGCCGCTTTGACAAGCTCGAGGGTGCCGCCCAGGTGTTCGACGCTTGGAAGCCCAAGGCGGATGCGTCGATGGAGGAGCTGCGCGCGGAGGTCGGCGCGTTCCACAAGACCGACGAGTCGGTGGAGTGGATCCGCTCCGAGATGACTGCTCTCCGCAAGACCGTCAGCCGTGCCACGCTCGAGTCGACATCAGCAGCACCTGGAGTTTTGCCGCCACTGCTCGCGTTGCGCCAGCAACGGCCGGCAGCTCCATCATCCGCCCGTTAGGGCACGGCGTTGAATCAAGTCACCGGGGAATGAGTTTCGAACTCAAATCCCCGGTCAAGGGTACGCAGTTGCATCCTGACCCCATCCTCCTCCCCAAATTGCATCGTTCACTTTCTAGTTCAGCACTGGTGACGGCGGGTTCTGGGGGTGACCATGGCGGGTGGCGTGGGGGAACCGTCTACCATGAGCCGTGGCCGCCTTGGGAAAATTCTCACTCAGGCAACAAAATTCCTAAAATGAATTTCACTAAATTTGATGGAGAAAATCCTAGGTTATGGATCACTTGGTGTGAGGACTACTTTGATTTATATTCAGTCGACCCTGTTGTGTGGATCAAGTGTGCGACAATGAACTTTGTCAATTCATCACCTGCCGCTTGCTGGTTGCAATCTCTAGATCCACAAATCAAGAGGCTTCCATGGAGGGAGTTCTGTCAGTTAGTCCTAGATCGCTTTGGGAAGGCTCCGTATGAGGCTTTGGTTAGGCAAATGTTTAGTATCCGTCAGACATATACTGTTCAGGACTACATTGATCGTTTTGCTGGGTTGATTGATCAGTTGGTAGCCTATGGTCATAACACTGATCCAGTTTTCTTTGCCATGCATTTTGTTGATGAGCTCAAAGAAGAAATTCGCAATGTTGTGCATATGCAACGTCCCCGAACATTCGATACTTCTAGTGTACTCGCTTTGCTGCAGGAGGAGCTACACGAGCCCAGCAAGAAGAAAGAGCTTCGCCGACCTGATTCCTATTCATTCGGCAAGCCAGCACTCAGAGCCCACGGGTGGACAAGACTGATCGTGGTCTAGCTGATCCGGCCCCGGTGGAAGAACGTCGATCCCGGGGGATGGACGACAAGATCCGCACCTTGCGTGATTACCAGCGGGCTCGCAGTCTCTGCATCAAATGCGGTGATAAATGGTCTCGTGATCACCGTTGCTCGGAGACAATCCAGCTCCATGTGTTGCAGGAGTTCTGGGATATATGTCATGCTGAGGGTTCGGGGAAGGCGTACCAGAGGAAGCTGACACCTCCGAAGTTCAAGTGTTATTGGCTATCTCCGTTTATGTTTAAGCACTGACGGGCAAGTCTTCTATCAATGCAATTCAGTTTTAGGGGTTGGTTCAGCGTATCACCGCCCATATTCTTCTTGACTCGGGCAGTTCGCATACTTTTGTTAGCGTCACTTTTGCTCCTCAGCTACAAGGCCAGACTCCATTCAGTCCCTCTATTCAGGTGAAGATAGCTGATGGTCAGTTTCTGAATTGTTCCACAGAATTCAAGCAGTTGGAGTGGTCTGTGCAGCATTGTACCTTTCAGTCTTGTGCTAAAGTGATTCCTCTGGCTCAATATGATCTTATTATTGGCATGGATTGGTTATCTCGCTTCAGTCCCATGGAGGTCGATTGGA